ATATATATATATATATACATATATATATATATATATATACATATATACATATATATATACATATATACATATTATTATTATTAAAACTTTATTTTGGCACGGTATTACTCATCAGGATTTACATTATAATTATGGGCTACATTAACTAACTATATTACAAAAACTACGGTGGTTACAAAGTTATGTCTATACCTGCTTTCCATGAGGGCCGTGTATTAAAAATAGCCATTAAAATTTATAAAAGACTTCTACAGCCCGCTCGAAAATTGTCAAGGGACTGTGCTTGCCGTAACCCGATTGGAAGACTGTTCCACAGCACAGCGCCACTATAACTAAAGTTGTTTTTCAAATAGTTTGTGCGAGGCATAGGAACAGCTAATTTATTCTCAGTGTCACGCAATTGGATTGAAGTTACACTTTCACGATCAGTAAACATGGAGTGCATATAGTCGGGAGCTAAACCATTAAGAGATTTATAGACCATTACCGCCTTTTGAACTTTACGCTGAAAGGAAAGTGTTTTCCAATTGAGCTTTTCAAAGAGTGAATCGGCATTAGTGTCATAGCTAGAGAATGTTAAAACGCTGGCTGCACGATTTTGTAATTTTTGGAGCTTTTCAGCATAAGTTTTATTACAGTTATCCCAAACTGAACAACAGTAGCTGAAATGAGGCTGAACTACAGCGTTGTAAACAAGCTTCAACGTTGTAGCAGGAATAAAAGAACGTACACGTTTCAAAGCATCAATACCAGAAGCAATCTTTTTTATTAAATCATTGATATGGGCATTCAAAGACAGGTTTTCATCAAGCTTCATCCCAAGGGACTCCGTTTGAGAAACTTGGCGAACAGGATGTCCATTGATTGCTAAGGAAGGGGCCGAGTGTAACGTGCTTAATTTTTGTCTTGACCCAATTAGCATGAACTCTGTTTTAGATTGATTGAGAGTTAGCTTATTGGCTATGAGCCATTTATTGACATTATCAAGATCTTGATTAAGCTTATAGTCCATGTCATCAACATTATTGCTAGCAAATGTTAAATTAGTGTCATCAGCGTACATACGTAATGTGTCAGGCAATTTGGTAAATCATTAATGTAGATAAGGAAAAGCAAAGGTCCTAAGATAGTCCCTTGCGGGATACCGCAAGGCAATACGCGTTGACTGGACAGATGACCATTGACATAACATTTTTGATTGCGATCATTTAAGTAGGACCTAAACCAGTTGCCTGTAGAACCTCCAAAACCATATGCGCTTAACTTTGACAGCAATATTGCATGATCAACAGTATCAAACGCCTTCTTGAGGTCTAAGAAAACGACGGCATTAACGTTGCCCCGGTCAATATTGTAAGACCAGTTATTACTAGCCTCAAGAAGTGCGGTGACAGTGGAATGAAGAGTTCGAAACCCTGACTGGCAATTAGATAAGAGGTTATTATCCATAAGATAAGCATAAACTTGATCATAAATAATTCTCTCAAAAACTTTCGCCACCACTGGAATTATAGAAATTGGGCGATAGTTATTTAAATCCCTACACTCTCCCTTTGTAAATAATGGAATGACATTTGAGCATTTCCATTCGTTGGGGAATGTACCAAAGTTAATAGAACAGTTAAAAATTGCACATATTGAATCGGCTATTAGGTCGGAACAATCGCAAAGTAATCTGGCTGATATCTTATCCAAACCCGTGGCTTTAGATTTGCAAGGTTTAGACAAGAGGGTACCAACCACCGACGGACTAGTTGTATTTAGTCGAAAATTATCATTAGATTGACTTGGCAAGTAATCAAGGTGTGTACCACCATTCCCAATATAGGGAATTTTCTGAGCAAGCTTAGAGCCTATGCTAGCAAAATGATCATTGAACACCTCGGATAACTCATTAGGTTCACTGACTAAGGAACCATTTGTTTTAATTTCCTTGACTTGTGACTAGATTGCTTCCCTGAAGTAAGTTCGTTTACAATACCCCAAGTCTTTTTCATATTTTGTTTGTTTTGATGAAATGCGTTCTGATAATGAGTTTCTTTAACAATTTCATTTGTTACATAGTTTCGGAACGTCTTAAATGCAGCCCAGTCATTAGGATCTTTTGAACGAATAGCCTTAACTTTTAGAATTTCTCTATTGTGCATATGTTGTTTTAATTCAGGCGTTATCCACCGTGACTTAGAAGATCTGACACGCCTCGTGCGTAAAGGAGCATGCTTTTCAACAACATTATTAAATGTGTTTTTCCAAACCCGCCACATATCATTTGGATCGTTAAAGTTGTTTACAGCAGTCCAATTCTGTGCACAAATGTCAGACCGAAAACTATCAAGGTCAAAGTTTTTAAATTTTCTATACGTCACGGTAGAATGACCTTTATTGTAAATGCCTGTTGAAAGCTTTCGAAAAGCATAAATTAAGCTATGATCACTAATGCCGACATGTGAAACACCAGAGAAAACAACCTTATCTGGAGCATTAGTAAAAATGTGATCGATTATAGTCGAAGATGACTCGGTAAGACGTGTGGGTTCATTTATCAGCTGATGCATACCATATAAGTCAGCAATGTCGGTTAATGACCTAGAGTTATGGTCCAAAACAGATGCGCCAAGGTCGCAATTTAGATCGCCTAAAAGATAATATTCGACATTTTCTGAATCAAGCCTACCAATAAATGACTCGAAATAAGAAAATTTATCGTTGGTAAAATCAGGCGGCCTGTACCAAGTCGAAACAATGAATGGCTTAGAACTAGGTTTTCGAATTTCAATGCACAAATTTTCTAGTTGATGGCTAGACAGATCCAGGCGAGGCGAGAAATTTATGCTAGAGCGCACATAGAAGAAAACGCCCCCATATGTTTTCCCATTAGCACTACACATAGACCTGTCACGCCGTACGATTTCATAGTCAGAAATGTGTATCTCATTATCGTGTATACTAGCATCAAGCCAAGACTCATTTATAGCTAAAACATCAATCGGGTTAGTGGCAAGCAAAACCTGCAGTTCATCAATGTGGCCAATTAGACTTCTCACATTAAGTGCTGCCATCTTAAACCCCCGCAAATTAGGAAAGACAGGCTTAATACTAGTATCAGGATTCAGTCAATCAGAAATAGTATTTACAAACCCTAATAAGTTTTGTTGCAAAACCGAAGTTCCTTCTTTGTTCAGGTGAAGTCCTTTATAGTTCAAGTGCTTTGCATTGATATCAGTTTGAATTATTTAAAAAGGGTATTTCATTACGTAGACAATACTCCTTAAGTATAATATTAGTTTGCAATGCTTTGAAAGCAAGATCGTCATTATCATTTCTTACCACAATAGCAGAAACACCAATTGTTGTGTTTGGCGAATCCTCTTTCACTTGAGTAACAAGATTAACAATTGAGTCAGCAATAACTCTCGGCGTACAGCTCCTTAGATCATTCGTCCCCACATGTAGAACCATCTTGTCGGGCGACTTCCTCGACAGTGGTTTAACGAAATCCTCCATGTCTGATATTGTGGCTCCTGGGAAAGGTTTCACGATGAAATAATGCTTAGAATCATTACCACTCATTTTTGCACCAACAATATTCTTAACAATAGAATCACCCGCGATGACAACAGTTTTCTTGCGATGTCTCATCGAGTCTGGTCTATCTGGACCAACGGTGGCCTCAGAGGTGGCAGAAGTGGCGGTCTCAGATGTGGCAGAAACAGCGACCTCAGAGGGAGCAGCAGCCACGTCCGTAGAATGATCAGCAGTTAAATCTGGCACATTTGGTTTAGATTTCTTACTCTTCCTCTTTTTACGGCGCTTCTCTTTATTGGCTGGCTGGTTGGGTGGTTGATCAGAAGATGGCGGGTTTGCTTGGATGGTTTCGTCGCCTAATCCAGATTCATCTTGGCAACGCTTTTCCAAGTCAGAGTTAGAATCAGCTTGTAACAGTTTAAGAGCAGTAATAAGACTTCTTTTTTCATTTTCAACGTCCTTAATTTTCGTGCGTAAATCGGACATGATATAAGATATGTTCGTATTTCTTTCGCGAAGATCGTTGTTCTCGGTCTTCAGGTTAACGATTTCAGCCTGAAGAGATGCAATACATTGGTCGGGCGGTATTAGTTGTTTGAGGTTCGCAATTTCTGATGTTAACGCGTCAAATTTCGTAGAGGTTGAAATAACAAAACTCTCCATAGTATCTTTGAACTCGTCAAACGGCGAATTGATTGATTGACCGCTTGAATGAACGCTTTCCTCGTTTCGTCCCATGGGAGGGGGTGTTGTAAGATCGATCGAAGACGTATGCAAATTGTGAGTAATTGCACGTTGAATCGACTTTTGACTTGCTTCCTTCTCATTTTCGGCGATTGATATAAGTTTATTCTTTACATCACTAGCTCTTTCCCCTTTTAAAGTTATCGATCCCGTTGTAGAGTACCATCGTATAGCCAAATTCACAGTTTCACATAACTTAGTTCCACCACCAGGCGAGGTCCATTTCGCTGTCGATATTTGATTTGATTCAACGAAGTCTTTTAGACCTTCAAATGTGCCTTTCCATTTCAAGCTTCCCCTCTGTGAAACCTCTAAGAAGCCTGTGTTGTTTGTGTGATCAGGATTCGAATCTACAATGCCGCTAAGAAGCTCCGAAGTTGAATCTAAAGAATTTTCAAAGGAGCTAAAGTTTTCGACACACACCGCCATGATACACCAACCTGCATAGCATAGCATAGCATAGCATACCATACCATACCATACCTTATATACCATACCATATACCATCCCGTACCATACCATATATACCATACCATATACCATACCAAATACCATACCATCTACTAATACCTTGTAATATGTGGCTTATACCATACGTGGTTTCCAAATACTTGACGACATGGATTGGATTTTGTTGAAAATGTTGAGAGAAATTGTGTTCCTAGGTGATTCAAATCTATATTTTTTGTTTATTGCTTTATAGACTTTTAGACCATATCATTTAGTACATAATTATTATGGACCATTAACTCAGAACGTGTATTGCCATTGTACGTGTATCGCCGTAATTTTAATATACTGTACATTCTTTTTCTAACTTCGTAACTTAAACAATATATCAGACTCGATAACATGATTAAGTGAATTGTTCTATTGCTTGTCAATCTGTGACAACTCCTCTGACAAGAATATTAAGAAATTGCAACTGGTGTAGAATTTTGTGGCTAGAATTATCACCGCGGTCGCGACTTCAGTGGCTGCCTGTCAAGGAAACCCTGAATTTTAGAGACGTTTTAATGGTTTTTAAATGGACAAATGGACTTGCTCCAACCTACCTGTCAAATAAATCTTCTATTCATCAACGGAGCACTCAACATTTAAATACCAATCTAAAATCTCAAAAACGACTTAAATTTAAAAAGGAATGATTATTTTCAGTAGTTAATATACTCCGTTGTCCATTATACATGCATATTAACTTTTTTATCTAGATAATATCTTAGTATATATTATAATCTTAACCATTGTAAATGCATGTTGAAAAACTCATTTTGGGAACACTACTATCAGTGATATAATAATAATAATAATATCAGTGATATAATAATAATAATAATAATAACTAGAAATTACAATCGCAAGGAAAGTGCTGCCTCCCCCACCTTCCATCACGTAAGCACATAAAGCGCCCCTAAGACACCTGTTCATGAGGTAGGAAAAGTGCAATTTGAATATGAAAACACTTTGCACAAAATCGAAGCTCAACTAAGTATTCTAATTGTATTGACTTCCACAAATTCCTTGTAACTTCAAGAAATTACTTCCTTGAAAATTTCTTCGTTCTAAACAAAGATGAAGGACTTTGCGAAAATCTACAGGTCATATGCTATGCAGGTTTTTAATGATTTGCATTATTCAAATGAATTCAAGGTTTATTAGCATATCATGACCAGTTGTCATGGCTAGCTTGCCACTGAATACTGTACAATGTCATATATAACAAATGATAATAATACTTGAATGAATCATTGGATATGTAGAATTTAATAACAATTTCATACAATACTACCAGTAAGTCAGTTTTTCTCCCAATTATCATTTTAATGGCACCTTCAAGGCCACTCCTACTGCAGAACAACTGAACAATCAGCCAATGGGGAGACAAAATCTATTTTGTTGACAGTTTTGTTTAATACGTCAGCTTCGTATGACACCATTCATTGTTCATTGTATAAATGACTAAGATTGCAAATAGAAAATAGTCAGAACTGCAAAACTATATAATAAGAAAGAAATTGTGAGCATTATCGAAAACAAGTCACTCAGATAATTTTTCATTCGCATACAATTGTGTCTTCCAATTCGGACATCATACTGCTCATTTGACCGTATGCATAATGATGTCACAAGACTTGGTGCCCGCAAGGAATGCTGGTCATCGCCCGGGAGAATTAAACATTCAAAATGGCCACGATTGAAATTTCCTGGACCGTGATTACTACTAAAACCAGCATTCCTCGCAGGCACCAAGCCCTTGAGACGTCATTATGCATAAAGTCTATGCCCGCATAAAAGAACCAGTAGGTTAAGAACCACTAGCCCGACGTTTGGGCAATTAAGCACCCAAAATACAAGTTTAGATCTATGCAACGTATATCAGTGAACATAGCAATAGTATTATGCAACAACAGTCCCTATTTAATGTGTAGAATATAAAAAAGTATAGTGTGAAGTATAAGATTATATATAAAGATTAAAGAACCACTTCAGCCTAAAGTCAAATTCACTGGTTCTTTTATGCAGGGCTGTACTGCATATCATATTCCCATAATAACAATATTAATAATCATTTTAGTTAATATATAACTATTTTTATTGGCAATTTTCTAATTGACATTATTACAACCTATATATTTGTAAAATTTGATATACAATGCTTTGTTGGCTTGATCTTTTGACATTCTCCGATACAACTTTATTATTTCCAACGTCAACGATTGCCCAGCTAGCGAGATCACACTTCGCTAGTATAAAGTATAAAATATAGCGAGTTCACACATCCCTAGCAAGTACAGCGAGTTCACAATTCACTGCTTTTTTGAAAAACATAATATGATTTTGATTTGATTTGATCAAATGATCGCCACGAACACACACCAAAATATACACCTAGAGGAGATAGAATTCGAATTTTTATACAAATGTATTAGAAACAGACAATCACGTTCACTTACATATATAAGTATTCAAACGTTCAAATAACTATTTTTGTCAACATACCTTCAAAAATATAACTCTTTTCCTCCAAAATCAAATAGTAATATTGTAAAATAACCCTCGTGTATTCGTACAATGGAAAAATATATATGGGATATGCCAAATGGTCATGTCAAAATTAAATTTCATAGCTCCTATGAAGCTACGGCACACCGAACACAGCTTTCGGACGTGATCGAATTGACATCGTTCACTTCCTGCGTATATAAATTTTACACAACGTCATTCTGTGAAAAATTCCGTGTAAAAACTGTAAACGTGGTCAAGAATAGGTGGCAATTAATGATCTAACAACATAATCATCTATTTGTTGCAGTATGTATTAATTATATTAATCGTGTACTATTTTAGTCATACACCAACATCTTTATCGCAAACGTCCCCTGGATATGGTGTTACCTCAAAAGCAACCACAAATCCAATCTATGACTCGGAAGAGAACGCGGGGTATGAATACGACACTGTGGCAATAGAGATGCACAACACGACAGATAATGTTCTTTATGAACCAGCAAATAAATTATTGGATGGAAATCCTGTATATGAAGGGATTGATAATAATGTTGATTCAACGTATGCAGAACCATTTCAGTAGATCGAGAGGGACATAACAAATTGTGAAATCGTAGACAGTCGGTTCCTCCAAACGCGAGTTTGTCAGACTCATGCATGGTGTATATTAATACCGCGCAGCGGCCATCACATGCATAAATCGCTTTATAACAATTTACTCTGACATTTGAGAGGGAACTTTGGATTTGACTAATATTTAACCTGAGTATCAGGCTCTATTTTACAAGAAATTTCACACAACGACAACAACAATCTAATTATAGCATAGGCGCCCACTAAACGGCTGAATTTAAATTAAAACTGCAATGAACTTATAAAATTAACAAAAATAATCACAAATTAGCGAAATATATTGCAAATGTAGCTTATATTAAATCGCCACCCGATTGCTCTCTCCTCCGCAGAGGTTTCAGTGACTACAATGAGCTTTACATGGCGCTTGCCGTATTTATCAACAAACAGTGACGTATAATTATAAAGTATATATATATTAAGTATACTTTATAACTATACGTCAGTCGATAGTGCAATCTGATGGCGATTTAATATAAGCTACATTTGCAATATATTTCGCTAATTTGCGATTATTTTATAATTTTACTGCAGTTTTAATTTAAATTCAGCCGTTTAGTGGGCCGGCTATAATTGTAGTTGTGATCGTTATAAAATATATCAACAACAATAGTATAATCTAATTAGCACCAGCCAATCAAATGACAGATTTAAAAATCGTTTGTCTAATCGGCCAATCAGCGCTCAGTCCAGATTCTGGACTGAACAACCAGGCAAAATGCCACTTTTGTGTCAGGCCGTACTTTTCTCCCCTTCGCCCACGATCAGGCGTGCCTGTGCCCTAAAAAGTACGGCCTGATACTCAGGTTAACTAATATTAAAATATTGGCGCCAATCACGCCAGTGTGCCGTAGAAAACATTGAAATGAACGTAAATAAAATAGCTGTAAAAGCATGCTATATGGGGTGGTATCAAAACAATTGGCAAACAAACAATATAAAACCTACAAAGAGTTTTTTAGTTTTTAAGGTTTTCTGTTTCGAAATGCTGAGCGTCATGCACGATCGAAGGGTTTGTCATTAAGGGCCTGCATGTTTATATATGGAGGCGAGTTACCCGGCAAGGCGAGTTACTCGGCAAGGGCGAGATCCCGGCTATTATAGAAACTAATAGTTATCCCGGGTGACTGTTTACATGATGCAGCCAAGTAACTCGCTTTGGCGTAGACTTGCGCCAAGTCTCTCTTTCATTGTCATATAGTATCGATCCATTATAGTGTACATTACATGACGTAGTACGGAGAGGCGGAGCGAGAAAGAGAGACTTGTCAACTTCGGAAAATCTCGGTTCAAAACTGAACCGAAAATGCAAGCCAATTGCTTTAATTGTTTTCCTTCAATTTCTTTCTGTATTATTTACGATAATGGAACTCATGTTATTTACACTGTGCTAGATCAATACATATAAACACTGACAGAAAACAATTAAAGCAAGTCTTGCATTTTCGGTTCAGTTTTGAACAGAGATTTTCCGAAGTTGACAAGTCTCTTTTTCTCGCTCCGCCCCTCCGTACTACGTCATGTAATGTACACTATAGTGGATCGATATGACAATGAAAGAGAGACTTGGAGCAAGTCTAGCTTTGGCGAGTTCCCGGCAGAAAGAAGCGAGATATTGCCTAGGCGAGATAAATATTTTACCATTTTCTCGGGTAATTCGGCCACCCGAGATAGAATGTGCGTGCTTTGATTGAATGTATTTTGCATTTGAAATATATAATAGCTCAAAAATACATGCGAATTGATAGATAAGTTTTCCTGAATTTCTCGGCGCTTATTCTTGTATTTTGACGACATTTTGTAACTAGTGTTTTTTTACGTTTCAAACGACTTAAATCCTTTTTGTGTTTGTTGGCGCCATTCCGGCGTCTTGCGGCAAACATGCAGCAATTCCATATAAACAGAGCGCTTGATTGTCCCGCCTGGGCGAGTAACTCGCCTTGTCGGGTAACTCGCCTCCATATAAACAGGCCCTATAAGACTGACCTAAAATTTCAATGTCAACTTGTAGTATGGATGATTTTAAGCAATATATCCATAAGCCCCCACCCCGTAGGTACGCCAATCTCATTTCTTCTTTTCAGGTAAGTCTTTTTCCAAGCCCAATGAATTCAGAACCGCAGTGATGCATAAGTACTGTAGATATTGGTGTGGAGATCCGACATGCCGTCTTAAATACACATTGAGTCTTAAAATTTGTATAACTGCTTAAGTATACGCGGCAGTAATTCAGTTTTGGAGTATACTAGTCAGGTACTGCGATTATATATACCTTGTGTCGTATTTTGGTGGAAAAAATTGCTCTTTATAATTAAAGTGCCTATGCAACGAAATTTTACCTCGTTTTTTATTGTTTTTCTAAAAAGTACTGCTGGAATAATGAAGAATGACGTTTACAGTTTCTTCATATCTCATCTCATTCCCAAGTTATCGCACTTTCTATATTTTGAGTTGTGACGTCATTAGTGTCACTTGAGATAATGCATGGCAATAACAAGAAATGATACGTGCCGTTTAATAAAATACAATGAAACTTGGTACACTTAGTAGGTGCACCCGTATGAATATTTTTGGCTGGTCATGTGGTTGTCATGGCAACATACTAGTCCCCAGTCTCTTCTCTTCCTTTTCACAAATTACCTCCTGTAGACCTCTTGCAGAGGATGTTTGCATGTTATAACGGTTTAAACTGATCACAGTACCTAAAAGTATTATAGTAAAAGGCGAAAATTGCAGAAATTGTTATTTATTTCGTTGGAAATGGATCAAATAAAAATTAGAAGAGAAGGGACTGGGGACGAGTGTGTTGCCATTACAATCATATAAACAAGCCAAATTGTTGGCTTCGTTGCACCCACTAAAGCCCCGTTTATACTACGCTCAATTTTTGGTATGGCACGGATAAAATTGGTACCCGTACCACTTTTTTGGTTCTTTGACTACCTATTTAGCTAATCCCCGTTTAATTACACTACGCTTAATTTTTGGTACCGTACCACTTTTTGGTTCTTGGACTACCTAAATAGGTAGTCCAAGAACCAAAAAAGTGGTACGGGTATCAATTTTATCCGTGCCGTACCAAAAATTGAGCGTAGTGTAAACGGGGCTTTCAGTGTACCAAGTCACTTTGAACTTTACCAAACGGTCACCAAGATATCAGACTTTCTTGTTATTGCCACTATCTCAAGTCACACTAATGACGTCACAACTCAAAATATAGAAAGTGCGACTTGAGAATGAGATGAGATATAAAGAAACTGTAAACGTCATTCCTCATCATTCCAGCAGTACATTTTAGAAAAACAATAAAAAATGAGGTAAAAATTTCATTGCATACGCACTTTAAATCTTATACTCAACGCTCTTGAGATACTCGTTATTTCAACTCATGACAAACGTTAACCACGGAATTTTGGCGTAGGGCGCAGAGTAATTGCTACTATCTCGGGAGGGTCCGACTGTCTATATACGATTTCGAACTTTGCGGCAACGTAGATTAACTATTAGGGAGTTTACGATCTACGACGCGGCCGCCTCGACGACGCGCTTTCAAAACAAAGAAATTTGGTGTTTCCACAAACAATAGTATTATGTGTTTTTATCGCCATGCAAACGCACAAAAAACTTACAAAGAAATTTGTCATGCAAGACAAAAACTGTCAATAATTTGTGATCCCATGAGTATTGTCAACCGCGTTGTCATTCTCAACACAACGTTAAAAATATTACGTACGTCTTTCAGGCAACGCGAAAGCTTAATGCGACACAAGAGGTGTTACTAAAAGTCAAAATTACAGCAAACATTGCATCGCTTTAGCCGAACGTAGCATTTTGTAAGGCTATTTGAAAGAGTCAAATATTTATTACAGTAATCAGTCGAATTGCTTAGCGCTCATTCTTGAGCTAAAATTTAGACCGCGTCGTTGAGCTGGCCGCGTCGCAGATCGTAAACTCCCTATTATAAATCATAAACTTTTTAACTAACTCTTACTGAAGAGAGATGATCGAACCGATAACTAATTACAACTTAAATGCCGAACATAACGGTTTAAGAAAAGCTTCATACCTTTTGCTATTCAGCATTACTTGTAATATTTTTTATTGTATGTATATAGCATAAATCTTTCTAATGTACATGATAACGTAATTCAGCTTGCTTTTCCAGTTGCTAGTTTCTTTATTAATAAAGCATTTGTTTTTTGCTCTTTAATTGCCTGTATATATGGCGTTTGTCTCCAAATGCCCGTGACGCTTAAAGGGTATTGGCAACAAAAAAATTTATTGATTTTATTGCTTCATCTGAAAGAGCATGAAAAAATAAGCCGATTGGCCGTTTACTGCTCTATTCTATCTCATCTGGTTCCGAAGTTATACGCAAAAATGTGCAAAATATAAATTACTGATTCAGCACATTCTGTGACGTCATAAGCTGGGTAAGTATGTTTATTGAATAGTAAACTAAAGCATAGCTGAGTTATTATTGGCTCAAATCAAATGAAATTTTGCATACAGATAGTACATGATGAGATGCATGGGAAAATACTTCTAATTTCGTTGTCAAGGCAACACAGTCGTTCCCAGGCCTCTTACACTGATTTTGAATAACTAGTTGCATTTATCTATGTGTGTGTCATTTTCGAATTATTATCATGCAAGTAAACTTTTGGCATGCATAGGTATCATACACATACTTCTGATATTATTTTATTCTTATGAGCATCTTGAATAAAACTGTTTCATAAAATTGGCGCAAGGGGCCTGGAAACGACATTGTTACCTTGGCAACAAAATTAGAAGTTTTTTTCCATGCGTCTCATCATGTACAATCAGTATGCAAAATTTCATTTGATTTGGGCCCATAATAACCGAGCTATGCTTCAGTGTAGTATTCAACTGAACATACTTACCCAGCTAATGACGTCACACGTTCAACCTCGTCCCCAGGGCCTTTGAGCTGGAGAAGGCCCTGGCATCGGCTGCGGTGTTCTTATCACCCATTGGTCAAATCCCTTTTACTGAAATGGCATAATTATAATAATTATACATGAAATCGACATGCGAAATATGCATATTATAAATTCAATTAGCCAGGAGCGTACAATACAGTATTTCGATGGAGAACAACAGTACACAATCTACAACTAGAAAAGTTTATTTAAAACAGAAACATAAAGGATGCTGCAGATTATGTGGATGTGAAACGGAAAGCCGGCGCATGACAAACGTTTTATCGGTAGCAGCAGTACAGAAGTTTCTGGTTAAAATAATATCCGAATCGTGTGGAATTTTTATACAAAGATCGGACGGTCTTCCCACGGCTGTATGCAATAAATGCATAACCTTCGTTAAAAAAATCCATGTATTCATAGGCAAATGTCAACAAGCACAAACTGACTTAAAGGAGCAGGTAACTGTGAAAAGATGTCCTGTGCAATCGCCCAACATTTCAAACAAAAAACCGGCGAAACGGCAATCAATGTCACAAGATGATGAGAGTATAGAAGAACCAGAGATGGACGTGCCTGGCCCCAGTACAATACATCTAGACATAGCTCAGTCAACTACGACTTCGACTCGCAGTGTAAGAAGCAGGCTCGATTTTTCATCGACCGCAAACTCAACTGTAATCCCGTCTTCGACCCTGATTACTGCACGTCAGATAGAGAAAATAACAGCAGCTGCACGAACAGAAGATGCCTCTGTCCTCGCGTATATAATTATGAAATATTGTCCCAACGTACAATCTTTGCCAGAAACTATGGGACAGCTGCTGTAATTTCATATATTTTGAAAGGAATAGCGCCCCCCGTTCCCCCAGTTCAATGTTGGGCCAACAAAAATCTGATGTCTGGATGCGCGGCGCCAACATTGAAACGGGTGGGGGGAGGGAGGGTGGAAAATATGTATCAGCAAATGGTATATTACAACCGAATGCATGTGAAAACTAGATTGTCCCAATCTATATTGTCAAAGATTGTAGTTAGAGAGGTGAAGAGAAAAATCACTGATGATATAAATGCGTCTTGCAAAAACCTTTGCCTTAGAAACAAAGGCTCTATTTTACACGCTGGACGACAAGACTCATGCGGCATGATGATAAACTTCTCGTTTGAAAAGTTGTGGGAAGAAATGGAGACCAATATCCCATTTGTCATGGAGATTCTAAATGCAATCACTGGTGTTGAAGGAGGTAAAGCGAAGCAAGACCTACGAGCAAAGTACGGGTTTCTATATTCCATTCTAATGAATGTACGTTGGCATGAACTAAGTCTGATTCAGCGATTGAACACGCTTTGCTTAATTGAAGGTGGCTGCTCAAAACAGGTAAATTTTTTATTAATATGTGTTTACGTTTCACTTTTCAAAATGATACAATGTTCATGGATATCTACTTGGCCTTAACTTTACCAAACGTATACTACAGAAAATTGATTGTATATAGTTCTGTCATATATACAACTACGTGCACGTGACTATATGCTATATGCAAAAACCATTGAAATCAACACAAGTGACAAGTGTACAGCTTAATATATTCAGGTTGTAATAGCACAGTGATGTCTATACGGTTTATTTTAATTTAATTTCCTAAACAGTCAACTAATATAAAGGCGAAAAGCAAAGTAAAAGTGTGTTTTATTTATGTGTGCATGAAATTTGAAAATCATTCCAAAATTCACGCAGCCGAGTCAGCTTGCAATGTCAGGTGCATCTATTGTCTTATTTGTTTGTTTTGGTCGTGTTTGTTTTTAACAGGTAAAAACTTTTTAACAGAGTATGAACAGAGCCATAGGTCTCAATTAGGTTGTCATAATTAGCTGCACGAGTCTGCATAAACAAAATCATTTGAGATGCTAATCAGTTTCCCTTCTTATAAAACACGACAAATTTAGGTATTAAGAAACTGTAAAATTCAGCCATTATGCGCTCTTTATTCTTACTTTTTCCTTCATCTGTATAATTTACAGTAATATGGCTGATGTATAAATAGAGTATCAACATAAAGACCAAATAGAAACTAGGCTTATTAAAGTAGTGCATTGCCATAATTTGCAACATTGTTGTCAATTATAATTTGTAATAAAAGGTTTCTCTTCTAGTTTAAATGCAAGCCGCCACATTATCCTGATACACTTTACTAATCAAAAGCTTTCTTCCGAACGTGCTTAGAAGAGCTTCGGGATGAGCAAATAACAATTTCGCCTTTCCATCGATCACTGCTTTCGAAACGTTTACATTACATTCTTCCGAAGTTTGTTCGTTTGTATCCTCCTTGCGATCAAACAACGACTCCGAATTGTATAAATGTGAAGAATCTTCGCATGTATTTGGTAAAATTTCTGCTGGAATTCCAATCAAACTCAGAGCACTGATTTGATCTTCGATTATACTTGATAACGGACAGACAACAAGAATGATATTCTGGGACGACTTTTTAACTGGCAAAAGGTCTGGCAAAAGCTGAAACAACAGCGACTTTCCAAAGCCAGTTGGAAGAATCGACAACACATCGAAGCCTTGAAGCAAATATTCAAAGCATTGAACTTGCTTTGGTTTCAAACAAAAACTGGGAAAATTATTCATAGCAAATGCTACATGTAACCGCTTAAACGTATCAGAAAATTTCCACATTTTGACAACAGTCCGTGTGTGAAATACTGTTATTCGTGTTCACCGCTCCTTGGCCATCAGAATTAAATATTGCATATAATTTGAATATATTATATGGGTCTTAATTTATTACACCCCAAAACTTGGGGTGTAAATTTTAGCCGATGCCAGGGCCTTCTCCAGCTCAAAGGCCCTGGGGACGAGGTTGGTCACACGATGTGCTGAATCAGCAATTTATATTTTCACATTTTTGCGTATAACTTCGGAACTAGATGAGATAGAATAGAGCATTAAACGGCCAATCGGCTTATTTTTTCATGCTCTTTCAGATGAAGCAATAAGATAGATGAAGCAATTTTTGTTGCCAATACCCTTTAAGACTCTCAATCATATACCATGCATATACACAGGGGCGGATCTAGGGGTTGTCAAATAAGTCGCGCGACTAACGTAAAAATTGCGCAGATAATTACTGATTCATAAAAGTGCCCAGTACTCCAGTTTTAATGCTTCGTGCAGTGATAGCAAGTGTAATTAATATTCACAATAATCCAGTTATCAAGTTTCATTCAGCGGTTGTAAGCTCAGTGGCCTTGACTTACTTGAGGCAGATTCTAGCCATTTGATTGGTCGAGAATGGTTTTGCCTCATCTTCGTGGGAGTCTGCCTTATTTACGTCATCTATGAGGTATCTGATTGGCTGATTGAAGGAGAATTCTCCTCAGTCATTGGTTCAACTTTTTTGCCTCATCTTCGTGGGGGTCTGCCTTATTTGCGCAATATTTAAAGTTCTGATTGGTCGAAAAAGACCAAATTCTCTTCTCTCATTGGCTCATACTTTTTGCCTCATCTGACTCATTCGGAAAGTTTATTCACCGCGAAGATTAAATTGACGTACGAGTACGACGACAATATAAAATATATGTATGTATAATAATACTCAGTGGTTCCCGCAATATAAAGTTTATACGAGACTGTCCAGTCTAGAAATGGTGAACACAGATCTTTTAAAGCATATCAATACTTCAATACAAGATCGATATATCGAAGAGCTTTTACCGCTATTCATATCAAGTCTATTCACAACTATATCACCAGAACCAGTCTCGCTAGAGATTTCAATTCGGTCTCGTCCACCACAATAGAAATGTACAGCGATAAGGTTAGGAGATTATATTTATATTTTAGTTCATAGTCTGGTACTAAGTAAGCTTTAAAACCTGCTTAAAGTGTCCTTATTGACGGCGGTAATAAGATATAAAAGCGGTTTGGCTGCTTAAATTAACTGTGTATAACCATTGTTAAAGCTATAAAGTATAAACCGCTTTTGTGTTCGTTTATATTTGTATCGGGCAATATTTAATTGATGTATTAGTAGCGACAGAATCTGGAGATTTTGAGATTGCATGGTCGGTGTTATGCTGTGTTGTAATACGATATCTAGAAGTAAGCGGATTTTGTGATTGTTCGTGTGAAATCTTGTTGAGAATTGCCCCCGAGATAATCCTCAACACAATAGTTTCTTTTAGCTTTTATTCGACGCTACGAACTATCCTAATTTCGCAAAATCTCTCACTAAAAAACCTCCCACTAATCACTATACAATAGCAACAACCATGCAGTGTATTCTGTAACTTTCCGATTCATTACTGTTCTGACTCGCGTGTCCCACGTGTGAACAAAACATTATTTTATACTAAATATATTGACTAATAACAGTTTTCGACAATTCGTTTGTTATATAATATGACGTTTTGTTGACAGGAGGGTCAAAAATTTATTTATTAAAAGAACATGCCGATGTGTAAAACAAAATTCCAGACAATCGCGCGACACTACAATATCGTGACAATACAATTGCGTCGGCTGTCGGGCGAACAACGAATAACTTATAATGCTACAACCCCCACAGACAGAAAGTAAAACCCCCGCCCCCCCGGATGGCAGCAACTCGGAAAAAATTTGACTAACGTACGAAAATTCCTAGATCCGCCCCTGCATATACAAATAATTATATATGTTTTATAACGTTGTTATAATGCTGTTTCGAAAGCACAATCTATGTCTCGCGATCCTTTTTACATTTTTTTATCTTCTGCGCTTTCTATCAAAGACAAAAAATATTTTCCATTAATTTACCTAGCTAGATATTCTATTGTTCACCCTCGGCAATTAATCAACCTCACAATACATATCACCGTCTCTGCTACAAAATTGATTTCATATGCAAATCGACTTTCCTGAAACTATTGCTAATGAGTTCTTGGACCTATTTATATTTTAATTAGTTGACCTGCATCTAAGAACGAAAAGGGCTTATATTCAGTTAAAGGGAAATGGCAATATATTTTTTTATTTTCTCGTTTGGAAGAACATTTAAAATCGTATAGAAAAATCTGTTACCGTTTTTTCATATCTTGCTTCCTTCTACATATATTTTAATCGAAAGAAATGAAACGTCCGCCATCTTGGATTTTTGTCGATATGCATGTTACGTCACAACAGGGGTCATGCAATATTTTTATCTAGACAACCACTAATCATTTTGCACTCAAAATTATACTCTGTATGCGCTTGGAAATATCAAGATTACTTGAAACCTTTAAAACATCTACCAATCAATATTTGGTCAGCAACGGATACTTTTATATGGTTAATCCCTGTTGTGACGTCACCAAAACTACCGTTAATGAGATAAAAAATGTATCCAAGATGGCTGACATGTCATTACTTCAAGTGAAAATATTTCAAGAACAAAGCAAGATAGGACGAATCGGTAAAAGAAGTTATTAAATAGTTTCAAAAGTTCTTTCAAATGAGAAAATAAAAAAATATATTGCCATTTCCCTTTAAGCAAATTTGTTCCCATAAAACTTTTAAATCTGAATAGTTGGATCATAAGAAATATTTGTAATGAATTATTGAATTGGAATCATCCATAATTTATACATCAACATTTTCAAAAACGTACCAATTAGACCAGGGGTTACAGGGCAATGATAGGATAGGATAAAGCTTTATTTGACTATACGCTGGCCACTTCAACCGGAGCTTCGTTTCAAGTGAGGCGTATATAATTTATGTTATAACAAGACGCCTGCTCAGGCGTTCACACTGGCCTCGCGATTGGTAAAATACCATCGCAATACTCTAAAAAATAATTTGAAACATGTAGATGTTCTTCACTTCTTGACGGCCGTCACTTCATGATCAATTCATGATCACAAACATTCAGAGGACGGTACAATAACAATCCAAACAAAACCAATAGAGTTCAGCGATATCATATCGAAAAACACAGAAAAGTTCAAGCGCATGCGCAATGAAGTATAATAAAATACGTCAAACAATTACAGCGTCTAAGATTTGTAACGTAGTTAAACACGAAAGTTGTTCTGATTAACATTGTGTAGAATTGGTCCTAATAATCGTCGTGAGCATGTTTTAGCTATAAATGGCGCAATCCTGAGCCCACGATGCCGCAATGGAAAGTCACACTTGCGACAACCAAAAAAAACGAAAAAGACATCATTTTCAAGCAAGGGCAAATTATGACACTGGCTGCGGCCAGTGTAAAAATATAAAAAATACAAAATCGGTAATAATATTAAGAACTACGAATACAAAATAAATATTACAGACAAATGGTACAATAGTCAAATAGCTAATTCGTCAGATTAAATTAACAGAGGAAATATTTCTATTGAAAGAATTTAAAGATTCGCTGTTTCTTAATTGTTCAAGAATGCTATTCCAGATTTTAACCCCACTATATCGGAAACATTTCTACCATACTTGATACCTGGCCGTGGCAGAAAGAGAGACGAATTTGAACTTCGTAAATTATAACTGTGCATATGGTTAGATTTCTGGAACATTGATGAGAACCTCGACCGTGCCAAATTATTGACAACCTTAAACATGAGCCGGGCCGTAATATGTTTCCGCCTTTCTTCCAAGCTTTCCCACCCTAATTGATTAAGAGCTAGTTGAGATTGCCCAGGCTCATCTTTAAAGTTCATTATAATTCTAGCACATCTGTTGTGAAGTTTTTGTAGTCGTCCAGACTGGCCTCAACTAATGGTATTCCAAATTTCACAAGAGTAGTCGAAATGTGGTCGGACAAGACCATAATAGACTGACATCAAAGTATCGGAATCAGTGAAATCCTTTATCTTTTTCATGGCACTTATTCCAGAAGATATTTTTTTCGAAATATGACCAATATTCATCTCTTCCAAGTAAAAAATTGATCAATTTTCACTCCAAGAGTTTTTGTAACCTGAACCCCTTTAATTGGTTCATCCCCAATAAAAACACGCGATTGTTCTTCCAGCGTGTTAATTAATATTGTATCCAATCAAAATATATTCCGTTTTGACGAGGTTAAGACAAAGCCTGTTTGATAGAAGCCATTCTTTGATATTATGGAGGTCAGCATTAACGGCCACCTCAGCTTCTTCAATTGATTTACCGGACACTGTGATGTTAGTACTGATTTCCAAGTTTTCTTTCCTTCCCAATTGGAAAACAGCTACATCTTTGAGATCAGTGAGATGACCACCATGCATAACCATGCGCCTGCGATTATTGATGAACTTTAATTTAGACAATTTAACTATAAGTAAACTAGAATGCTAACTCGGGCTCGCCACGGGCTTCGCCCTCGTGCTCCGCGCTTGGCTCGGGGACAATAGATCGGGAGTTTACGATTCACGACACAATCTCGTCCCCAGAGCCATTTTCACTCGGTTACTGGTCGTTGAAAATTAGGCTCTGGATTAGACTGCTAAAGGAGAGATCTAATTAGCTTCTCAGAGGACTTCTATTTCGCAGAAGTTGTCTGAACAGTTTTCCCTAGGCAAAGTTATTCTATCAGCAGATGTCAACACAAGGACTTCGTTTCTTCATAATACTTCACTGTGAAAATTGTTACGGGTGCTATAAAAGCGTCCCAATTCAAGAGCATCGTGAATCGTAAACTCCCTAATTATGCGACGAGGCCGAGTTGTCTATGAGCGAATAGTCAACCGGAAGAGTGGCTATTCCTGATTATTTAATAAAATTATGTGAGTATTTAATAAAATTCAATGGAACTCGGTACACTTATTGGGTGCACCCATATGAACATTTTTGGCAGGTCATGTTAACACACTAGTCTCCAGTCTCTTCTCTTCTTTTTCACAAATTTCCTCCTGTAGACCTCTTGCAGAGGATGTTTGCATGTTATAACGGTTTAAACTGATCACAATACCGACACGTATGATAGTAATAAGCGACAATTGCAGAAATTACTATTTATTTCGTTGGAAATGGATCATATAGAAATTGGACGAGAAGGGATTGGGGACGAGTGTGTTGCCATAACAACCATATAAACAAGCCAAATTGTTCACTTCGTTGCACCCACAAAGTGTGCCAAGTTTCATTGAATTTTATTAAATGATCATCAAGATATCAGATATTCTTGTTATTGCCACTATCTTGACTCAAACTAATGACGTCACAACTCAAAATATAGAAAGTGCGATAACTTGGGAATGTGATGAGATACGAACAAACTGTAAACGTCATTCTTCATCATTTGTCGGATAAATCCTTGCAGATATTAAATACTTTATGTTATGGTTTATATTACTTTTAAATGGTTGTAAATTGATATCTTAGTTAGACTATAATGCGTTGTCTACGCTCAAACAATAGACAATGAACTTCCGGACGACGGAAAATATTAACGCTTGAGATTGTAAGAGAGTGGGGTTTAGAGTTTTATCAAGAAAGGTTATGTTTGTAAGATTGTAAGGGTTTAAGAAATGGAGACGTTATGATAGATTTATTTTAATAAATTTGTAAAAGGAATTGTCTGCGCGTATTATTTGGTTGTACGGTGATAGTATACAGTCCCCAGAGAAGAGAACCAGCTGAAGCGCAACTGCTCGTATTGACGCGAAGCAGAAAAGTGCAACATCATTTAATTAAGCAGAACCTTTTAATAAGACAATAAAAAATGAGGAAAAATTTCGTTTCATAAGCACTTTAAACTCGTTTACACTATAGAGTTTTTGTCACGAAATACACTGATTGTTGTATGAATGTTGTTGAATGTTGATTTTTGTTTGTCGCTATATAACAAAACACTTAATGTCTGTTCTCTCGAGAAATATAGTTTTGTTTTCCCTCGAATCTCAATGTTTGCCTCGACTTCGTCTCGGAAAACATTGAGACTCTCGGGAAAACAAAACAAACTATTTCCCTCAAAAGCAGACATTAAATATTTTTTTATGTCGATCGGGCAATTCCCATCAACCTCGGACAATATTTTGTCCGCCCCCCTCCCCAAAATAAAAATTATTTTGGCCGATACGCCTATGAATCTTGTTCTGTGTTTTTTACCTTTCTGCTGTAGTTTTGTTTTGTAAATGCAAGCACGAATGCTTTGAGTAAAGGTCAGTCGAGAATACTTAAAATTGGCCATGTGTATGGCAGAGTATACTAGGCCGTATATGCTTGATTATGACATTATGTGAAAATATATATGGCAGAGACTATAGAATCATAAAAGTTTCTAGTACACCAAATTTATAGTTATGAGGAGAATGTTAATCGTCCCTATTTTCATTACCCTGTATTTTTTTTTGTTAATTAACTAACTATTTTATTATTTGATGTATATCTATTTAGGCAGGGCTTGTATTCATAACAGATTCCAGGCATTATGTCTATCTCAGCTTGCAGTGTGTTGGAAAAGGGTGAGCGCGAACAGCCGGCATTCCGTACCATGATGTCCGGAAAGAATCATATCCGCCAGAGATTGCCGAAATAACGTCACAATCAACTGTTTTGTGTCAACACATCCATCGATACAATAAATAGCAGACGTTCGTAGAAATTTTTTATAGTTAAAATTGGGAAAGTTCACCTTATAAAACATCAGGGGCCGGTTGTACGAAAGGTGGATAAGTTATCCAGTGGATAAGTCCTATCCAATGGATAAATCTCCTATCCAATGGATAGCTATCTGCCGAATAAAAATGCGTTGTACAAAGCACGGATAGCAGGGTGGATAGCTATCCGTCGGATAACCTTAATTTTAACCGGAGAAAACCGGATTTTCCTGAAATTTCTTATCTCTACGCCAGCTGTTGCTAGGTATTTGTAAACTTTTGTTGTAGTATCTTCGTATAACTTGTGAATTCCACTAACCTTTGAACTATCAACTTGCAATAAAGGTTTTTTGTTCATGTTTATATTTTGGAGTTTTTCTCGTCCAATCGTTGCAATACTTCGTTTTCCCACAGTGAAGAGTTTGCTATCTACTTATCTATATTTCTTTAAAAGATTTTTGGCTTCTTTATGCGAAGGCAATAGCAAAGACTGCGAGTTTTGTTTTCTTGTTTCAGTACGTTGATTCAGTTTTATTTTATATACTGTCGGAATATTTGTTCTTTGACCTTTCACGTCATTCAAAACAATTTTCAGAACATTTTCTCGCAAGATTTGATTGGCTGATCAAGGCCAGCGAACAAAATTTTTCGACTTTCGGCGCCTTGTTGTCTATTTATATGCAGATATATTTGTTTGGCGTTGAAGGGAACTCATTTAATCATAGGCAGCCCACTAAACGACGAACTGACGTATATTAAAGTATACCTATTAAGGTATACTTTAATATACGTCAGTTCGCCGATAGTGCAATCGAGTGGAGATTTAATATAAGCTACATTTTGCAATATATTTCGCTAATTTGTGATTATTTTCGTTAAATTTTATAATTTCATTGTAGTTTTAATTTGAATTCAGTCGTTTAGTGGGCTGCCTATGATTTAATAAAAGTTTTATTGCTTGTTTTCGAGCTATATAACAGAAAAAATGAAGGGAAAAAGCAAAAAACGTAACGTCTAAGCACTGACACAGGTCTGCATAAAATATGGCAAAGTCATGGCATTATTTAATGGGCAAGTGACTCAAAGTGAGCTCGGTACGTCAAGAGCAACAGAAGTCATAAGTAAGTTTCCATGTTTATTTAGTGTCAAAAAAGGGACTTCTAAACGGTATTTGTCCATTTTTATCACAATAGCAATCCTTTTTAAATGAAATACACATTGTTTTGTCTTCAAACTTCGAGTTTATCCCAGAGGAGGTACGACAAGCAATTAGCGAGTTGTCACGTGAGCTCTCGACCAATGAGATTGCTCTATTTTCCATCGTGTTATCTGCAGAATTTGGACAGAAAAATTTGCATTCGACGGAAAATAAATCGGAAAAAAATATTAATATTAAAATTTTCTTGCAAAATTTCAAGTGTAGTAGTACTACTTCTAAAGATCTGGTGATATCTGCAGAAATCTTTGAGGTAAATGTTATTTTCAATGTTATTTTGATGTTTGAAGTTAGTCAACTCCCCGCGACGTGTTGACTCAAGTCTAAATATGTTTACAATGTTTAAAATGAAATATCTAGAATTTCCATGGTTCGATTTTCTTCATTTTTGGTAGTCGTCAAGACAAAAGTATAAGCTTTAAATCTGCTGGAATGATCCCGGTGATCCCCCGGCAGTTTTCGAGATATTGACCGTTGAAGTGACTATTGTCAGCTCGACGTTCGCTAAAATGGCGTCTAATACCTTGGAAAGAAAATGCGCCATCAAAGATGATATTTTCAATGAATTTTTGTTAAAGTGTTAAAATATTATTTAGAAGACTTAGGAGTTGTTTTAATATTTTTTTAGAATTTATATCTGTGCGATTTTCAAAGTTTTGTTGTCTTTGGCCGACGCGACTGGATCGTGTCCGTATTTCAAGACGAGCTGATCGCCTGATACTGGGGTTCTTGTGGCAAATCGAGCTGCGGAATCCTCAGCATGGACAAATCAGTGTCATAACAGCCCATTTCAAGCCAGCAGAGAGTTTCACTTGTTTTAAAGCAATAAAATAAGTTTTTATGTATCATATAACAAATTAAGTGGCATGTTATTGTGGGATCTTTCCCTGCTGGCAGTGGTTTCTGAGCTGATGTGGGATCTCTGATCAATTTAATAAATATTATATAAATAGACATCTTCTTGTTTTATTGTTGCATTAATTTTAATCTGAAAAAATACTCACAAAGTAGGTCAAGTGTATGAATAAATATTCATTTATTTACTAAAGTACATTTTTTACAGTTATTTATGTACTTAGTCTTATTTGCATGAGTGTACATGACAGATTGGTTTAATTAGATATACCCAGTTATCATTATAACCTATGGTTTGTTTAAAAAATGCTGGAAAAAACTAAAAAAGTTAGCCAATTGAAATAAATGCACTAATAACTTGCTAAACATAGCTTGGTAGTTGCTATTTATTATATAAAAAACATCGGTCAAAATACACTCATGCTTTTTCCTACCACTCGAGTCTCCACTCACCAGGGGCCGGTTGTTCAAAGCTGGGTTAGTTTAACCCATGGTTAACCTAAAATTCGAAGCAAACTTCCAGACAGCTTTTCTATAAATTTGGAAATATTTCTTCAGAGATCTTGTCTGGATCAATAGAAGTTTACTTCTCTGAAGTTTTGAAATACACAGATCTATGTGTAGAAGTACACAAACTAAAACAGCAGGTTAAATCTTAACCCAGGGTTAGCGCTAACCCACCGTTGAACAACCGGCCCCAGGTGTCTTTATGAAAATTTTTGCATAAATCCTATTTTTAAAATTAATTAAAAAAGTCAACCCTATACTTGATATACTGAACACAGACATCCACGACATCTCCTGCAGCAATTAGTGGGTGCAAATACTTGCATAGTTCAGAAACAATATAACCAAAATGTGTCCATACAGTTCCATAGTCTAGATCAATAGACAATTCCAGCTTTTAATTTATGCATGCAGGGGGTGACGGAAAGTAAGGTATCATATTGCTAATTATGCTGAAAAATTTTAATAAACTGCCTAAACAACCAAAATATTTCAATATTTACAATAGCTACCACTCCATGTTTACATGGCCACCATTTCTATTTTTTCAGCATTATCAGCAATATGATACCTTACTTCCCATCACCCCCTGCATGCATAACCTAAAAGCTGGAATTGACCATTGCACTTGGGTCCCTTGGATTCAATGGTGCTGGCCGTATTCTTACATTGAATTCACTGTTTTATCTTGTTCATGAAGAGTGAGGTATTATGCCTTAATTTTCCAAATGATGTCAGTAGTTTTTCTCATGAGCAGCACCGATGCACTTGAATGGTACAGAGTGGGCGATTTCTTCCTCCCCATCACTTTCGTCTTCATCACTTAACTTGTCATCACTTTCTGCCCTATCACCTTGATCACCTCTTTCATTATCATATACATCTTGAACAGGTTCAAGACCAGCCAACCACTCAAGTAAATCTCTTTCTACAAAATCATATTAAACAAGGAAATTATTATTTGATACATTGTTATCTCTAAAATTAGCAAAAATATACAAACAGCAATATTTAGATGAAAATTAAAAAAAAATATTAAATTACAGTTTGCACATTTAAACAACCACCCACAACTAGATACAAACAGGCATCACACTCAGTAAAAAATTATAAAACCATACAAATAACTGAATAACAAATGAATATACCTTCAGACTCATCTGAGAATCAATGTTCATCATCTGAATGTTCATCATCAATTCTATTCGCTGTCAATATATGATCCACATCGAAATCCAAAATCAAAAGCATATGCTGGGTGTTTTCGTTAGCAAACTCATCAGGAGTAGGGTCAAACTAAAGGGTTAAATTATTAGAAATATTACGCCATAATTTGTACAGTGTATTTATAAAATTTACAGTACAATATTGAAAACAGCAAAGCGGAAATTTGACCAAATAACAAGTCAACTGTATTAAATGCATTGTAATATACTAACCTTAAATACTGCGCGTGTTTTCACGTTGATGATACACAGATATTTAACGCCATCCAACTTAGAAAGAAGGGCCTCGCTATTGGGAATATAAACACAATTCCTTCGCTTTGACAGACGGATTATTTATAAAGCTAAAATGACAGCACGTCCCATGCAATTTAATACAAGGTAAACTTGGTATAGTAAAACACAAGTCATAATGAGGATCGCAACAATACAGCAATAACATGCTATTTTCACGAAGTTTTGCAGCCTGACAATCTTGTATTTCGAATGCTTCCATATTTGTTTACTCAGAGAGATGTTCACTCCACGACAGTCAAAGATTCATTGAAGCCACGCCTGGAATTAGGCACTCGAACCCATGATGCTTTGCGGCCTGCTTGTCGAACCTCCTCTGAGTTTATCCGCCGGATAGTGGATTTAAACTACCTCCGGACCTCGGATAAATTTATCCAACGGATAGTGCATTTTATCCGTTGGATAGCGCTATCCAAGCTTCGTACAACGCGATTTTCACTCCGGATAAAATTTATCCGCTGGATAGGGACTTATCCACCGGATAGCGATTTATCCACCTTTCGTACAACCGGCCCCAGAAAAGTATTTACTTGGATTGAAAATTCGTCAAATGAATGTATAAAGATTAAAGTGGTGACTGCATGCATATCTATAAATTTCGTTGATTAATTATATCTGTACCATATATACGCATTAAAAGCGGAAAATTTATAGTAACTTGGTTTCAAAATATAGTAACTATAATTAACCACAACTACTCGAATATCCACTGATATGGGGAGTTTCATCTAGATATATATAATTTCATTTATCATACAAGTTATTTAATCTATATATAAAATGGAATGTAGGCGAGTCCACTTCCTGAACGGTTTAACTTAATCAACTCTTTAAACGAATATAGTGTCATTAGTGTGGGACTCGGTCAGATCGCACGAAATATGCCAGCGCCTTTGCATGCTTGACCAGCAGAAGAGTAAGCATACTGTTTGAAGTCCCTCAAAACTAATTACTAACATGTAAGTATAAAGCTGCGCCTCCCCTTGTAAATCAGACACAGATAGGTTGCTCTGATTCCTAGTATTACATAAACTGCCGGTCATATGTCAGAGCCCGTATATCACAGGTGTCCGGATACAATGTGTATATAAGGCGACCCGCGATCTTGTGAGCATAATCACGTAAAATAATAAATACGTATACATAGAGGGCCCCCTATACTTTTTGCGTGAAGCGTGAATGGCTTATTTTACTTAGCCGTGAAACGTGATCGGGCCCCCTATAATTTTTGCGTGAAGCGTGAAGGGCTTATTTTACTTGGCCGTGAAACGTGATCGATGATTTTCTTAATCCGTGACTCGTGAAAATGCATTATATTTTTACGTGAAAGCATATTATGAAGAGGTATAGGGGGCCCTCTACATAGTATCATGCATGCATGTCGCTGATTATCCTAAGCTTATTAACTTTAAAAACAGTCACTGGAATGAAAATATTTATCATAACCTCAGTCTATAATGGTTCAATTTTTTTTCATAGTACGAAACAGTGCTTAAAGCAGTAAGCCACCAGGCCAAGGGTGACCTGATCAGTTTTGGCCTTTACACTTAGTCTGTACAACTAGGGCGGAACGACCTAAATCACCTAATGCTCTAGATAAATATGTCTCGTGGATGGCTGTGTTGTGATTAACTACAGGGGTGCAAGTGAACGCCTACGGAAATAGCACCAGGTATAACTCATGCTTTTAATTAGAGAATGAGTTGATTGGTGAAACGTCGGCAGTCTGCCTCCCACAAGTTACAAAATGCACGCCAAATTGCGTAAAAGAGAAGCCCCCTCCCCCACCTTTTTTTCGCACGCCTTTATTACTCCCCAAGTAAAAATTCCGTTGAGAGACAGACTTGAGGCAAGTCTAGGATTGAGTCTGAAATGTAAACGTCTTGTTCCAACTGAGTTATATATATTTCTAGAAATTTAAACTGATACTATTTATTTAAGTTGACTGACTTTCCCCAAAAGAATAACTCACCGAACCATGGCAACTGCTGAGTAGTGCGTCTGTAGGCTAGCGGACCTTTCGTGAAGTCTCCATTAATAGGTATATCCATTTATCCTAATTTTTTCCCCATTTGTTTATTCATTTATTAATTTAATTGTTTTTACTATTGTTACTCTCATATTTATTAAAGCAAAGTAATTAATCTGCAATCCTGCAGATTAGTAATTCATTTCATAAAATTAAAGGAAATACAAAAAAAATCATGACATGGCGTCGGTACTGATACAAAATATCCATCTGATAAACTGAAAGCAAGATAATATATTGAAATATTTCGAAAATTAAAAGTTTTGAAGTTTGCGGAAAATATTGGGCAACGTTCTCTTTTGGGGATGGTTAAGACCACCTCTGAATACTTTATAAGGAAATTAATTAAACAGTATTCGATCTCATTCATAACAACCGGTATCCTCTCAAGCTGTCTCAAGTTACATAATATCTGCATTCAGTATTGTATGTCTACTACCTGGTGTGAAAGATATCAATCGAAAATCCACTCAGTACATGTTTCACCCGGGTTGGAACGTTTAACTTGTTCAAGTTGAAATAATGTTGACCACAAAAAGCATTCTTACTATCATCATTGTGAGATTTTATGTTGTTATTTGCTCAACAGGTAAGCAATATCGCGAAGTTCACTTCTAAATAAACATTCATTTTCTCGAATGTACAGTATAATCGATCAACTACAGTGCAATAAAGGTTAGCGTTTTACGGCTTGATTAGAGGTATAGTCTATACATAGTTTTTCTTTGAATCATGCAATTATAAGAATTAAACACATAACGTTAAATAGAAAGTACTAAAATCTTAACATACTATAACATCAAATTCTATTTAGCCTATGGCCTCACACGACATATTATTAAAGAATAAAGGGGAAGAAACTATAATAAATAAGGGTATAAGTTTAACTATTTATGATATTTTTTCTATTATGCCGCGTTTAATTTTTGATCAAAAACATGAAAAGCGTCCTAAAAACTATTTAAAATCTCTGTGGGGAACCTCTCAAATTACTTTATTTTAGCTTCATCTACTTTTTATATGCATCTGCCGGTTGAGCATAAAATTAATAGAGTACGTGATCGAAAGGCAAAAAATTAGTTGCTGTGGCTGTATGTGATATACAGTCATAACCATGCATGTCGAAAAGTTATGACTTTAGTTTACGCACTCCGGCACTCGTTAGTTTTGAGGGCGTGTTATGTAACATCAATCAAAGATATCCTTTTAAATTCTTATCGGTTAAGTAAAAGGGTTTAACTTTTTAGTAGACAGATTACCTGGCGACGCGTTATCGATTTGAAATGCCCCTATTATATTTTGTGGTATATTATACGTTAGCTTTAAATGATAGACTAGTTTCGGCGTTCAGGAGATGAGGACATCATTATCATATCAGTTTAATTTATTGATATTAATTTTGAGTGATCATTTCCCTTTCTATAAGTAACCACTTAAGGCAGGCGACAGAAAGATTACAAACTGTCCATATCATCCAAAAAATAGGTAAAAGTATGATCAGGAAATGTCTTTATGAATTGAACAATTAATTTATCAGAACATAGTTTGCCATCCATACGAGAAACCTTAAAAATTCAATACTCTCCCCATGCGTCACACTTCAGTTGTTCGAGTGCTTCACACGGCTCTGTATCCGCTTCTCTACGACACTAAAACCGCAACAAATTTTAGACATATCTGTACGTCTTCTCGATCTGTCTGGACTTTATTCTCATTTGTATCTACTTTTAAACGAAACGTTAAATGTTTGGGAGTACAGCGTCATATTTCCGACAATATTCATGTTGATATTCAACATGTTTTTGTCATTGAATTCGAAGTGAATTTCGACATTGAACATATCAAATTCAGCAAACCGCTTTGATCCAACATTACTTCAATTTCAACATGTTTCCCTAGCTCATTGATTGAACATATCAAATTTAAGTGAATTACAACATTGAAGTATAGATATTAAAGAAATTTTCAATGTTGAAATTTCAAAACAGGTTGAAAACGCATCACTATAGACCCATTGCACGTGACGTCACACGCCGGTGACGATGCATCTGGAGGACAAATTAGCAATCTATGCATAATATAACTTTTGTAAACAAAGCAAGTTTTGTAAATCTTTATAATAATTTTGTGTTAAAATGGTTAATTTTTGCGCTGTATGCATGTGGTTGTTGTACCCGAACAGATATTGTTAGGGAGCATCTGGAGGACACTCTAAGGATTTGTGACGTCAGTGCAATGGGTCTATACATGAATTTCTGACGTGAATATTGGCGGTTACTGTATTTAGCACCCGTTGATTGAACTACTATAAACTGAAAGGCTAACTTATGAAACTTCTATGATGAAGGCCTATGATTCGTTGAAGCCGACGCGCGGACTAAGGACCAAAGGACTAAAGGCGGTTTTCCACTAGGCGAAATTTTTCGACCGAATCGAAATTTTCTTTTGTCCTACTCAAGCACTAAGATGGAACTAAACAGAAATCTTTTGAATTTGAACAATAGAAATTTCGGTTCGATCGAAAAATTTCGCCTAGTGGAAAACCGCCTTTGGGAGAGTTTCGAGGATGAAAAAATTCGGTCGAAAGTCTGTTTTTGAGAAAAATTTGCAAGAAAAACACTTTTTCCATGGAAATACTACAATGATTGGGATTCAAACATAGAAATATTAGACCTATTATTTCTATGGATTCCTGAAGCCAGGTTTTCCGATTAGATCCGACTGTTTTACATCTCTCTGCAAAAACCTCGCTCTTCAACTCGAAAACTAAATATACTATAAAACATTTTGACAGTCCCAAAACTTAGTTTGTACTAAACCCCAGGTATTGTTATTTATCCTGAGCTTTTAGTCCTTGTTTTATTCTTTCTAAAACATGCCATAAATTGACGTTTTTCGGGTGATGTTATTCTTGTAATCGCATCTTTTTTGTCCATTTATTGATTTATATGAGCACTGTACTATATAATATGAGCCAAGCTAGTTTTGATTATTTGTTAAAAGTAAGTCGTGCATGGGTACTTGAAAATAAATTGGCAAATGTATTTAACATTTTCTACATAATTTGTATCATAAAATCTCTTAACTCTTTTTGGAAAGTCTCATAACTTGGAAAAACCAAACATTTTCGCGCGGGTTTTGGACAAATTTTATTTTGGCCCTGTAATATTTTAGCAGTCGTTGAACGATGTTTGTTTACTGTTAGTATGCTCTAAAATAAAAAAGGAAAGGAGGAAAGGAAATTAAAGGGGTAAAATTTATCGATATAAAAAAGTGTATTTTTAAAAACAAAACAACTTGCAGAAAGGGGCTGGCACTACCTACAAAGCACGGCTTCAACTTTTCCCCGTGAGTTAGCTTTCCAGTTTACCGCTTATAGTTCAATGATAGCACAGCGTTAAATGTTCGAGAATATTAATTAACGCTTCGTTAACCCCCCCCCCCCAAAAAAAAAAAAATCCCATCTCAATCTTGTCAGAGATATAGCAGGCACATTTAAATTAAACTGTTTAATGTAAAAACGAAATATTTCATTTTTAGTCGCCTGAAAAGTTGATTTTGATAGTAGATACTTCTACTCTTTCACATATTTGACGCCTGTCACCGGCAGGGGCGTAGGAAGCATCGAAAGGTTGGGGGGGGGGGTGTACCGGCTTCGAGGGGCACTTTTGGATAATGAAAAGGGCACCTAAAAATTTTCCGGGAAACAATTTTGCAATCATATCATATTCCATGCTTAATATAATATATTTCCCCAAATTTCGAATTGCAACGTACAATCAACGTTTTTTACCACAATTTTTAAAGACGTCGACCAAAATTTCGATTTATTTGTTTCCGATGGACATTTTTTTATTGAAGGGCACTTTTCTCAAGAAATGGGCAGGTTATTTTCTATTTTTCACGAGGCCAAAGGGCACTTTGTCCGACCGGGTAGAGGGCACTTTTATGTCTTCTGAAACTTGGGGGGTCTAGGCCCCTTGACCCCCCGGTTCCTACGCCACCTGGTCACCGGCATATAGTTTGTCCCTCCAAACGATCCCAGAATGCACTGTGATCTCTTTTGGGAAAAGGCTCATTGGGCATGTATATAAATATAACTGCTTCTAGAATGCACTAGTCAAGTTTGTCACATCTCATATATTTCATGCAATTTGGCGTATCAGGCATTCATCAACCTAGCCAACACGATTGCATAATTCTTTAAAAGTCTCTGCGGATCGAGGAGAAAGTTCAATACATGAAATTAAATTGTAGATTCAAATATAAGATTCAAAATGAAAAACGAAAATTTACCGACAATTGTCACAATTCCTTTTTTTGTGCACAGATCACTGGCCATTAGGTACTTACACCTTACCCAAACCAAAATCAGGTTGTCCTCATACAGACGTAATCACCTGGAAAGAAGCTTGGAGATATCAGGACCTAGAAAATGATGCAAACCAGGGCAGCAAATTTTCCTCAAATTTCCACATGGACGCCAAGATAATGGACAATGATATAAGAAGAGGATTTTGTACAAATTTTAACAAAGATGTACAGGAACCTTGGCCAGAAGGTAAACTGAGTTCATTTTTGATACTCTAAAAATAGAATGGTTAAAAAATAACGGGGAACACGCTGGTCATATTCAGTAAATTTTCTCCCAGTACCACAGGCTCGGATTTTGCAGCGGACTTGCGGTGAAAAATTGAAAGTTTTGGATTTTGTGTAAGTTGTCCGCTGATAATACGAGCCCGCACCAGGGCCGCCGGGAGGTTGGCGGGGGCCCGGGGCAAATTTTTGTTTTAGGGGCCCCTATTTAAAATTTTTTTCGGAGAACAACCTCCCCCCACCCCCCGCCCCTCCCGTCGACAACTTTTTAGGTAAAAATGTTTCCGGACGAGTACGTTGCAATTGCTTTCCAAGGACTTTATCTCAATTTTTCATGCCAAATTTCGGTACTTAGCCCAAAAAAAACAGATATCTTCTCCTTTACGCGGAAATATTTAACACACAAAAAAGACTGGGGCCCAACAAAAAATTTTCAGGGGCCCCCAGCACCTCGGGGCGTGGGGCAATTTGCCCCCCTGCCGCCCCCCCCCTCTCGGCGGCCCTGGCCCGCACGAGTGGGAGAAATTTTACTAAATTTGACCAACGTGAAGAGGAAGATTCGAGGCGGAGGTGGTGGTTTCGAATATTTTCTGCAAATTTACAACCTAAGCCAGGTACGACGAACTATACCGACCGTCTAGTTAGCTGGTTAGTAAGTAGCTAGTTAGTTAGTTAGTTAGTTAGTTAGTCGGTTAGTCGGTTAGTCGGCTAGTCGGTTAGTCGGCTAGTCGGTTAGTCGGTTAGTCGGTTAGTTAGTTAGTTAGTTAGTTAGTTAGTTAGTTAGTTAGTTAGTTAGTTAGTTAGTTAGTTAGTTAGTTAGTTAGTTAGTTAGTTAGTTAGTTAGTTAGTTAGTTATTGTTTGGAAGATATTAAACAATTTTTTTCTTTATTTTAGGTTCATACTGCATTTACAGAAACTCCAATTACTGCCCACCCGATATGATCCAGGGTTTCATAGATTGGTATGATGAGCAGGACAATAATCAAAATAAATTGCATGGTTATCTCAAACTACCTGATGGCTTATATTTCGGTCCATCCACAAGAGTACTTTATTGCTGTCATACTGCAGGAAAATGGTATAAGTCTATCGAACTGCCGACTGAAAACCCATTTTATTTATTGCCTTATGGATCACGAAACTGTCAACGTGTAATGGGGGCTATCAGTTTCCTGGAGTACATCATTTACGACACTGAAGATGCACAACCCAGTTGGGATGAATTTAGTGGACACCATGTTTTCACTGATAAAGTCCAAAGTTTACCTAAAGTATTTTATTGCTATTATGAAGGTAACGTTACTATGATAATATGGTAAGCTAGCCCTTTTCTAAAATAGCCAGCATTTGTATAGTTGGATTACGAGCACTAGCTTGCATTACTGCTGGTAATATATGCCTGTGTACAAGTTATTTACAAGATCATATACCAAAAATCTTATTATAATACAAATAAAAAGAAATTGAAATAAAATTAAATTAAGGTGGTTATGAATCTCAATTTCCGCTGCAACACAACCTCTTCAGCAACCCGCCATAATGTGCTGCAACTTATCGATTGTAACTCTGACTTCCTTGCTTCGAGATAATTTCAAGAACATTCTTAGTCAATCTGTGTTGCCAATACCCTTTGAAGATCCAAAATTCACCATTTCACCCTAGTATATATTTTTCTTAAAAAATGTTTTTTCATGATAACACGTCATAAAATTTATATTTGAACTCAAGGTATTAGAATATAAATCTGTAGTATGAAACAAGAAATGAGTTATACTGGGTACTATCACAGTATAGGGAGACAACCAGTAGGGCCACTTAGGGGAGAGAAAAGTGGGAATTATTTAAGCTAGGTCCCAGGTGTTTTACGCGGCCAAACTCATCACTCTGTAATACAATTTTATAGTGAACTGCTGCCATTTACTGGCTGCCAATATGTAAATTAGGTTGGCAGCCAGTAAACAATGTGGACACTTTTTTACACTGAGTGGCCCTACTGTAGTTTTCATATACTGTGGTACTATTTATATTCTACCTCATTGATTGCTGGTATATGGTTGGGAGTAACATTTTATTTTAAAATTATTTTCAGGTTGTGAATATAAATTGAGAAATAACAGTGGATCGTTCACATCTCCAAACTTTCTAAACAGTTCCTACCCAGATTTTCAGCATTGTTCTTGGTCAATAAAAGTCAATGTAGCTTCACGAATTTCGTTGAAATTTCAAACTCTCCACGTTTCTAATTGTGAAGAAAATTCTCTTGATATTTATGATGGAGATAGTGCTGAAGAATCAGCACTTTTAGCACGATTTTGCGGAGCGAATGCCACGTCAGGAGTTAAAGTGATGTCGAAAACAAATTACCTGCTTATTACTTTTAAATCTGGTGACAATTCCGATGAAAATACGGAAGACTTGACGAAAAGGTTGCGGTTTCATGCAGAATATGAGGGTTTTCAAACAGGTATTAAACATTATATATGACAGAGTATAACTGGCACTTGCATGAATAACTATAGACATGTTATATTCCATCGTACAATGCGGTGCCACGACATTAAATGACAATGGCCGTGCGATGACTTACTCCGCAATAATTATACTGGTCAACACAGTGGCGTGACACTCATTGGGTAGGGGTAGTTCAAAACCTAAGGGGTTCCGACAGTTTGGGGGCCTCATCAGTCACGGCATATCGCCCAGAAAAATTGAAAACGTAAAAAATGCAGGTTAATTTAAGAATTAATGGGAAAATGCAAAATTAATAATGCTAAATAATAAAGCCTCCATCGACACAACGGTAGCTGATTTTTTATTGCATCTCAAATAAAACAAAAGTTAGTGTTAGTTGTTACTTGAGAGACTGTTATTAGCAAGCTTAAGCCGAAGCGACGTTTTTGACAACACGAACGTCGATCGGAAGCAAATTTGACGTTATCAACCAACCAACATTCTTGACCCAGTCTTTTAACGTTACTCATGTCGTTCGTGTTGTCGAGAACGTCGCTTGCTTTTCGCTAATGTTATAGACACAGAATATTCCAGAACATTCAATAAATATTCAATATAAATATAATATCTCAGTCAAACATGCCTAAGGTAAACCCTCTTCGTTACGCCACTGGATCAACAGTTTCTTGACGGCCCTACACACGAGCAGTTAATTCCTTGTCCAAAAGCTGGCATGACTAGCTTTTGTTAACAATATTCCTAATTGTCAAAGAAACTTTGTCAACTTTTTCTCCGTTACAATTAATAGACTTATTAACTAGTTATTGTTGTCTTTATATAGCAACCCCACGAATCCTATCAACTGCAGAATTTTTTACCACTAAAAAGGAAACTCGACCAACGGCTTCTGCAGGAATTTCAAATAATACTTACCTCAATACGGTTCCAACATCAACGTTTACCACAAGAATAAAAGCTCCGGGGGGTGCGAAAGAACTATTAACGAAGAATAACGCTTACTTTAGCACAGTAACATCTTCAACAGCAATATTTACAACCACAAGAAGAGGAACTCCAAAAGCCACGACAAAAATTTCGAAAGACAATACTTACGAGAATGGAATAATAGATTCACATAGCGCCCACAATCAAAGCTCGTCTATTTATTTGTTGATTGTCTTGCCAGTCATTGCAATTTTGATATTGTTGCTAGTGGTTGGAATAATATTTTACTGGAGAAGGTGGGTAATGTTTACTAACTCATATATGTGGAGTTAAGTGCTCTGAAATATCTAATTGATCAAATATAGGTTAGGATATATTTCCACTTTCATATATATAGGCCCCTCCCCAAGGGCTTCTAAAATGAATAAACTCCCTCGCCTTGGAAATTCCTATGTATAGTTTGTCCCTATCCTACGGAAATACCGATAAAACGCCTACCGATTTGTAGATTTAAAGAAAACTCAAAGCCCTTCCCGAGATGTGTACGTGTTTAAGCAAATATGATCCTGTGGATCGGATACAGAATTCGTCCTGATTTCCATAAACTTTAAATTCGATTTTCCCGGCTAAAGTGAACCGTATCGCCAAAATAGTTCGTAAACTATATATTACTTAAATTTTCTTTGTAAGCTTTAGCATTGGATCTGTATCTAATTTACTATTTGCAATATACGTAAATCAGATTGACAGTTGGATCGGCTACTCAGTATTAGATTTTTAAGACATGTTAAGTATCAAGTATTGATTGAAAGTTACTTTTTAAAGGAATAAAAAGAAAGATGCTGCCACAATAAACGACAGAAGTAAAAGAATAGTTAAAACGGCCGTATGATAAAGGTAATATTCAGACTGAAATTATATGTGAGAAGCTATTTACGGAAGCAACTTTAACTCAAAGTCTATCACATTGTACCTATTGTAAATAGGAAGATATTGAAATTCAACACTAAATTTTCTGACTTTGTTAAAATTCAATAGGAAGGAACCAAGTGGGAGTGGGACAACGACCTTTTTGTCGATTTAAATGAGGTCTTAAAGTCTCCCCTAATCAAAATGTCTAAGGAACGCGCGCCACAGAAGATCAAGCAACCTCGCAAGCCAGGCTCTATACTTCCGCTTCCCAGCGTGTTGATGAGGGAAGCGGTAGTAGAGAGCCTGGCTTGCGAAGTTGAAGATCAACATATATGAGTTTTCTATCCTGGGAGAAACGTTAACTCTCTTGAGTGCTCGCCAACCCACGAAGTGGTTTTTACCGGATTTTATACATTTTCTTTATTTTAAGGTAGACGAGTGGGACGTCTCATGCGCCAAGATCAGGCCAACATCGTCAACATACACCTGGCCCTGATGTTAGGACGTCGTCAACAGATCAACAGCCAAATTACCTCATTTCCCGTTCTGGAGTTGAACCTGCTAGCGTATGGAAATAAGAGATACATTAACCGCACCTGGACTGATAACGTTCTCTATGAACCAAGAAATGTGACGATAATGATCATGATAATGCTATTATATACCAGGAAATGTGACGATAATGATCATTATAATGCTATTATATTAATTTAAACATAAAATCTTGCTTTGTATAAACATGCAATTAAGCCAAATATGTATTTCCTATTCCGACTTGGGCAGATAGTGGTGTTAATCAACAAAACCCATGGCGACATATCGCTCATTTACTGCATATGATATCAGACAAAGGGGCATATAACAATCCCTTATAAAAAGTGGGTAATCCGCTAATGGAAGTTTTGTGGATAGACCGTGCCTTAATTTTTGTGTAAAGGATAATGTAGTCTGCAGAATACACCGTATACTGCAGTATCTGATGTTTCTTAGATGAAATAATTTTAGTCAATATTTATTATACTAATATTTAATATTTGTAAATATCAAGGGACGCTTCTCCCAAACATAATCTCATATATAGTTATTTAATTTTGAGTTTTTTAAAAATACCTACACTCTCATAAGGTTTGGATAAATAAAGCCGGTTTTGGTTAAAAATATTTGTAATGAGTTGTCACTGCATCATAACTGTATAAAAGTGTTAAAACTTATGCGGCAGACCTTTTAAGTCTTAAAAGACCCTGCGTCATTATATATTTGCGCCCGAAAATGGTGTTTTAATATCATGCTGACAATTAAATAACTCCAGTTCAGCTGAGTGTCGTGCATGTACCATCACTGTGGTTCTTGATTGTCCGTTCTAGAAGTATAAAAGTCGAAAATGCTGCCAAAATTGCTGGGTTCGCGGGTATACCTTTGTCCCATGGCGCCTGCCACAAGCAGTATAAAGCAAAGTCAAGAGACTGTGTCAAACTTCCGCATAGACTGGTCGAAATTGAGACCGCGGTCAAACTTCCGCATAGTCGACTGCTTGTATTCGAAAGACTGGAAATAGTATTGTGTTCATGAAGCTCTAGTAAAAAATATCAAGAAAATTACCGAGAGTCCAAACTCAGTGTAACTTCTTCTTGTCACAAGGAAAAGCAATAAAATTTCCGAGTTTTTATTTTAGCCTGTTTTCTTTTTCTCGTATTCTCTACTCATTTTGGCATGCATTTTCCCACCATTTTTCTCAAGCATGCGCTTGACGTTTGAGCGCTGTGTTACTACAGGGAGCAAGTCAATCTCATACCCAGGGCTTTTCGGCTTTAATTATACTAATTCGTGTGGTAAAACCAAGTCATACAGGATTGGCAGATTGCATGGTTGCTAGATAATCTATGCACTTTAATCGACAAGGATAATTGGTGATTATGGGCAGTAACAGTGGCATTATTGGTAAGCATATAGAATTTATATAATCAGAACTCAATTAGATCTATTTCGTTAAGTACGTGTAGATAAGAGCCATACGGTATATAAATTAAATCACTGGCAGTTGCATCACCAAGTGTATAGGAGTATCTGTTTTCGTGAACGCAAGTTTATTCCAGTATTTTACCAAAATTCCTTTTCTATAAAATGAGTAAACTTTTCAAGTATTACTTAAAATATGAAATGGGAATATTACAAGGAAATTATTTCCATTAAGAGTCTCTTTTTTCTTTGATCCCTTCATGATCGACTTATGGTCATGTCGTGCAAGCATTTCGCAAATTTGCACTATTTTTCCTATAGCTTGTAACTTTGCTTAGAATGTGAGTGTCTACTGTAGGTATCTGTGTGCTGCATCGATTACTGTTTAAAAATACGTTATATTTACATCTCATCGACGTTTGATCGGTGACATGAATTATTTAGTATACAAGAAAAATATATAAACTAACCTTGTACCATACAGCCATGCCTCGGAAAAGGCGAAGGCAGTTTATAAACCGCTAACGCCGGTAAGTTATTTTCTCTTTTTCATGTAATTAGCGAAAATCGCTCAAAATTCATGCAGTTTTATGTCACGAACCGAACTTCGAGCACGCTGGTATATACATGAGCTAGTTCTTTTCGTCGCGGTTATTGTGTGCTAATGGAAACAAGAAATTGTGTTTAAGTATTTCACTCTGTGGGAACGCTGTCATATCATGACAGATATAAGTCAGACTTGGTGATCTCGTACTAGTAGATGTATATTAATTGAACAAAAGTTTAACAAATGAGGCAATACGATCGGCTTAGTTGATTTCTATGTCCAATATTCCTATACGTCCGATCAACTGCTAAATATGGCAATAACAATGATTACAACAATCCTCGTACAATGATTATCGACAGTTATCATACATGGGAACAATAACTCAGTATGATAACTGCATAACAAACATTTTTGGCAAACACAATGAGCTATAGATTATTGTTCTCCTTGCAGCAATCTTCATTTGTATCGTTCATTGGGTTTCAATTTCTTTTGCAAGCAGTGGTAACTTCATTCATGAACTATTAATGAGTATGTTAATTAATTATAATTGTTGAGGTGGTTGCGTGTACGGCAATCGGGTCCCACTGATGTGCCGGCAGTGTATATGTCATGATACATGCTGATATCGATTAATAGTGATAAACTATTGGTAAACCTGTTAGTAAGTTGTTTATTTATTCAATATCTAATTAGAAGAAAAGTGAAGAATGTTATGGTTTATATATCACTCCTGGCAATCAGCCATATTTTTTAGATCAGCGAGGATGATCACCCACGCCCACGGTTGGTGACCCCAGATATGTGAACTCACCCGCATTGAGTGGGTGACACCCGCATTTTGGAATCATCACATGCGGAAAAATTGGCACATAAAATCACCCGCATTAGCAAATTTTATAGCAATTCACCCGCATTCTGTGATTCTGTCTTCTGATTCTTGATTCGTTGTTCTGTTTTTGGTTGGTAGAGTGTATGCATGCGCACATCTACTTCTACTTCAACTAGACTTAACTCTTAAGACGTTTGTATACATCTGTTTTGTCATAAACAAGAATATAAATATGTATGGAAGTTAGAAATATGGGGCTTAGCAAGGCTTTTATAAATCACCAATCAATTTTCTCAACAACAAAAAATGACGTCATGTCAAAAATTATATATCACCCGCGTTTTTGTTACTTAGGGTTCACATCTCTGTGACCCACGCCCGCGATCATTGATGAACTTTAGACATTCCTAATGCTTCCCTTTCCCGAGTGTAAATAGCCGGGCGGAATTAGTACCCTCGCCCCAGGCTTACGCCCGGTACGGCGTAATGGCGCTCCGCACCGTTGGCCGGGGAACAAATTATCAGTACCTTTAATAATTATATCTTGGGCATTTGGTCAACTTTGTTGAAATTTTCATATAATTTTTTTGGAAGTCGAAATGTTTTCTATACGCTAAAACTTTGATTTTTATTCCAAGGATGTTCAGAGCACGTTATCCAAAGCCCTGATTATAGTAAAACATACCCTCCAAACCTGAATTGTTCCTGGCTCCTGACATCCAGTGACAGCAACTCCATCGTTCGATTCACAGTTGAAAATCTCCAATTAGAGGAATGCAGTCGTTGTAGTTGCGATTACCTGGAGATATTTGATGACTCAGATGGCAGAAAAAGTCTGGGTAGATATTGTAAAGGAGATATACGTCTATTTTCTACAGGACGAAACATGTTGATTGTGTTTCATACAGATGAACGAGGTGGTGATAAAGGATTTACTGCATCTCAAGACAGTGTCCCCAAAACTACGGGTAAGGCTTATTAGTTGAAGCTTGTTTAGCAACCGAGTGAATCAGTCATATATCACCAACTACGATTTAATTATTCAAATTAAGAAAACTACATTAATATATTTATATTGAATAGCTCTCTCAGTTGTAGCTGTTCATCATGGAAGCACTCATTAATTAATACTCAAGTGCTTCCACTAAAGTTGACTTAATGCCGTGGAAGGGATTTGTTCGGACATGCATGTTTGGTTTCACAGCATGAATACTTAATATGAGCTGATAGTCGTGATAGACCTTTAAGGATCACATGCAAACAGTTTAAACAGAACGTAACGAGTATTACTAGAAGTTACTATCGCAAGGAAAATGCTGCCTCGCCCCAAGGGATTAAAGGCAGCATGCACAATTTGCTGAATAAGGGGCTGTTTATATGATCCCGCTTTGCCAGCAGATATGAGGCAGGATGATTTTGATGTGCTTAAATAAGTCACAAAGCATGATTCAGCAAAAAATTTCACTAGCTATTTTCTAGAAATGGATTACGGTATAGTTAACTGTAAATGAAAGGTTGCCTGTTCAAGCATAATATAACCTTCTTGAACCACAAGATCTTCTCTACATTTGAACTACTTCTCTACATTTGAGCGTTTGAACTTTCGTTTAGCCTAGTGACTAATATTTTAATACATCAAAAT